CAATGTGGCAGCAAATTTTGTTTTTGCAGTTTCTGTTACAATTAGTTTCATATAATGATGTATTATAATTTTTATCCACAATCATGTAACTGTTGGTGAAACATAAAATATTTCACCTGATTTATGCAACAACACTATCCACTCCTAATGTTTTCCTCCTGAGGCCCCAAAATTGATTCCAGATAACTTGACACTCATGTCTTCAGGCAGCTGGAGTTCAAGAAATTTCACATTGTACATTGGCAGGCAACACAGACTATTAATAAAAGTTAATCTTAAAGCAGCTTTTACCCTAGTCAGGCCTGTTTCATTGTTCCTGTATGTCTTTCCTCAGGAAGAGGCTTGAAGTGGAGGGTGGAGTGTGACACAGATGAAGGAAAATCATGTCACTGTGGTGATGGATTTGATATGCACAGAATTTGGCGTTTGGCAAGTGAAGGAAACATAAACTAACTTTTGTTGGGTAATTAATGTTAAAATTAAAGGTACTGTATTAATCTGATTACTGTAATAATCTCACTGCAGACATCTCATTTGGGATGTGGAAAGTGAAAATGCTGTATCAAATCTCTGCTTGTATTCTGGTCCCTGTTCAAAATCGCAATCACATCACTAGAGATAAACTATGTAGACTGACTGCTGTCTGGTGGTGAGTAGGAGAAATGGAAAGGTAATGTAAGATATGAGCTTTGCTGATAAAAGTAGCTGTCTATTGATTTAATGTCCCAAAAAATAAATATAATAAAGGTGGTCAGCTGCGTAGAGGCGTGTTTTGGACCCAAAAACAATAAAGAATAAAAGATGTGTCTGGAATTCATTAGCAGATCAGCCCGGTTCCTCAGACTGAAACTCACTCCATCCGGCCTGGAATGAATGGAGGGGGGAAAGGATGAAGAACAAAGATATACTGATCCACAGACAAACACGCTTCGAGGAATTGTGACGGCTGATCACCGTGAAGTCAGTCCTCGCTGTAGAGGTGAAAGATTGAGAAGTGGGCTTTAATGAGAACCATTGTTTATAGTTGCTCTCCCAGTTTAAATTTCCCTGGATACAAGCTGAAACCATGTGTCCGTGACATCTGAGACTTCCTCACATGCCTGTGGATATTTGTTTTTAGCAGAACGCTCACATTCCCTGGCCTCTCAGTCTCTGAATTTCAGAACGAGCCGAAGAGCTTAGTATTGATCAGGGTTGCCAGATTTTCACAGCAAAACCCGCCCAATTGGTACTCAAAACTAGCCCAATAGCTTTTCAGGGGCGATCCCCCGGTAAAAATCTTGTAATATACACATTTTTTGGTGAGATTCCCCTGGTAAAAGTTGCATTTCATGGGGATAAATATCACGTTATTGGGAAAATATTGGGAAAACCGCGGACTTGGCAACACTGGTATTGCTACGTCTCCGTTCAAATCCAAAGCAGTGGCCTCTAGCCATCTCCATTTATCCCCCACATAGGCTACTCAACTCTGAAAGGGAGGGATCTTTTCTCGGCGGAGAGGAGGGAAAAAAACCGTGCTGTATGTTGAAATGCCAAAGGTTTTCTTTATTAATTAAAAGGAGTTTCTGTTATAGTACCTCCCGTTAATCTAAAATAGCTGGATTTGAGTTGGGAATCATATGCTATCTTCATAAAGCCCAAAGTAACTTTTTGAGACCCAGGTAGACAAAGGCGCATTTTACAGCAAAGTCCAGTCTGTTGCATGAGCCATTTTGAATGGCTTTGTTAAAGAGGAATTCAGCCGAAGATCTCAGACCTCACTGGTCTATGTAATGCAAAGATTCTGGAACATTACATAACCTTGCTATGAATGTATAAACCACTGCTCGCTTTCTCTCACACATCAGATTTTTTTGTATTTTTTCGGACTGCTGGACTGAGGTGGAGTTGATCCAAACAGAGGGTTGTCTGTAACGTTGAGCCTGTTCCCCTTGAAGCAAGGAATGTTCCTCTGTTCAAACAATTAAGTTTTTGCTTAGGTTGTCATGAATGAACTGAAATAGCTTTCATTAGTTTGTGGTTCTTGCCAATTTTTTTAATTGTTAACAAGTAAAAAAAAAAAATATATACAATTAATTCGTAATTAATTTATAAAGTCATACTCACATTTAATCTTGTTTTAAATATCTAAATCCACTGGTGTCAGTCAATATGTCGACTGATATGTATATGATGACTGATTAATTTTTGTCCTGTGGCCCCACCGGATCTCCTCTGATTTCGCCATTTCAGCAATATTGGCATCATGATATGTGTGTTTTGCTGTAGCCTATGTGTAAAGTTGGTCAAATGATCTCTGTTGTCTTTTGCATGAATGGTGAGAAAAGGGTACAGACTGAGCCTATTTAATATATTATTTACTTTTTTTGTAACCAACAGACAGGCGTGCTTGCTAATATCTTCTACACATGAGATTTATGGGAATGAGATGTGCTAACTTGGCCAACCAAGACTGGGGATGTAATTAGGAATGGTATTATTATTTGATTTTACGTAAAGTTTAGCATGTCAAAATATCTAGACCAGGGTTATTAGTTATCATAGTTAACTAAAACTAAAACCAAAACCAAAAGAATAAAAACATTATAT